CAACTTGCCCAGCTTGGTTGTGAGTGGAAATTCTCAGGGCTGTGTGTAACCAGCATACAATACCAAAATTTTACCCATGCAGCGAATTTGTCTAAGCAACTGTCCAGTTATCTTTTAGGTAATTGGTCTGGAGAATTCGATGGCCTCATGAATAAACTAAGAGTCGCCATCGTGAAGGTGAACTCAACACGAATAGACGTCGGGCTGACAGAAGGATTGGCCTCCTGGATGTCCGTCGCCATGAACCACCTAAAAGAGTGGGTGGGCATGGGAGCTCTAGCTGGTCTGATGGTGCTGATATCTGTGGTTTGCCTCTGGTGTATTTGTCACATTAGGTCTCGCCAGCGTCACCATGTAGCCATGCTGGTCCAAGCATTCACGGTCATGGAAATAGAACAGTCCCCTGGTGTATAGCTGGCCACCCTACACAAATAGTTAGAGCATAGGATGCGAGGCAAAGCACTGCACTTGGAGACTGGAGCGGCCAACCCGGAATCCATGGAGAGCATGCCTGATTGCATGTGGGTAGATGCCGCTCCTCCCACCCCCGTGCAAAGGGCATCGAGCACTGTTGACGCTCCCGGGTATAAAAGCCTGGGCAAGCGTCAGCATAGCCTCTAGCACAACGGGGATTGGGCCTCTGTTCTCGCCTGTTGCAAAAACTAAAAGGGGGAACTGTAGGGAGCTGCATGTAGCCGCGCCCTAGGATGGCGCCGGTTTCCACCTTCCACCCCCTCGGGGTGAGCGCTCCTGGTAATCAACAACTCCATAAAAGGCCAAGTCTTGGGCTAATGCATTGCTTCCGCATACCTGGACCAATGGACTGTACACACGTGGCGCCCCATGGTTGGAAGCCCTGAGACTTATAAGCTAAGAGCAGGGGCCTCGAGGGGGAAGAAGGCTGATGTAACAGGGCAATAAAAGCTGCGCAGACACAACCAATGGTCACGTCTTCCTTGCTGGCAAGGCCGCGCGCGACACTTATCAATACTTTTAACTGTGGATTTAAAAATAGTATTTTTATTCATCTTCTACAGCCCAAAACCAATTTAATAAGAATGCTTACATGTGAAGTTCTTAGGTTTGTTTCTTACACCAGAATTGCAAATGCCTGTTTTGTAATGTGACTTTGTATTTTTAAAGTGCTTATTTAATACGAATTAAGACTGTTGTTAGTAGAAATGACTATAACAAAGCAGACACATTTAGTGATGTACACTTATTTTTACAATTTTTATTAGCACATTTGCAACACATATTGATTACTTCCAGCATGAAGAGTTGAGACATACATACCACAGCTTCCTACAGTTCACATTTCAGACTTAATCTACTGGAAACCACACTGAAGTATGTAGTCAGCAGCAGATCCCTTGGACATTGGAAAGGGAAACAATGTAGCTTTCCATGTCATAAACGTAAAATAAGCTAGGATTCATAGGAACCCATGTGGTATAACCAGAAAAATGACTCATAAATGTTGCTCTCTTCTACATAACGCAGTAGGACATAGTACGCAAAAAATGTTATAATCTTTCCTTTCATGTAAAATGAGAATCACATGGGAGCTTAGAGCTGAGAAGTGATTGTGTAGAAGAAGTGAAACCAGCTGAAAAGAAAAGAAAAAAAGAAAAGAAAAGAAAAGAAAAGAAAAAGAAAAAGAAAAGAAGAAAAGAATTGCCAAAACAGGTTTTGGAAAAAAAAATAATAAAAAATAATAATTAAAAAATCAGGTTTTTGGAAACTTCCTGAAATAAGCAGAAAGTTTGTATATATTGTTCACTTGAAGTGTGTGTTCTTCTAAAAGAAGAATCATCTGCATTTTGTTCCATTTTTATAGTGGCAAAATATACATAAATAAGTGTGCCACTTTAATAACTTTTAAGTACACTCTTTGATAGCATGGACCCATTTGCATTCTGGTGAAACAATCTTAACTATCTATCTCCATAAAAATTTTTATCCTTCCAAAGTAAAATGAATAGCCATTTTAAATATTTCCCATTTCTTCCTTACACCAACCCTGGAAACCATCATTATACTATATAATACAATGAAGAATTAAAAAAACAAAAACACCAAAATACAAAAACATGATGAAGATAAGGTGTAAAGTCTAGATGTTGAAATTGCTGGGGTTTTTTCAATTTGCATTTCAAATGGGTACTGCATCCCCTGAGATCATGTGGTGGTGCTGTGGACCCTTCCAAGGGCACGTTTAATGTCCTTGTTCCTCAGGCTGTAGATGAAGGGGTTGAGCATAGGGGTGAAAACTGTGTACATCAGAGAAGCTATTGCACTGTGTCTAGGAGAGTTTGATGCAGCAGATGCAAGGTAAACCCCAATGGCTGTTCCATAAAATAAGCAAACAACTGAGAGGTGAGACCCACAGGTGGAGAAGGCTTTATATTTCCCCTCTGATGATGGGATTCTCAGAACAGAGGAAACGATTTTACAGTAAGAAAAAATGATCCCGGAAAGAGGAAGAAAACCAGAGATTGCACCCACAAAATACATGACTAGGTTCTTCATGAGAGTATTGGAACAGACAAGATTAAGAAGTTGAGAAGGGTCACAGAAGAAATTAGCAATTTCTGTATTCTTAAAGAAGGGAAAGTGTAAGGCAATCAAATTGTGAAGCTGGGAGATCAAAAGACTAAACAAAAAAGACACAAAAATGAAAAATCCACAGAGATGATGGTTCATGATGCTGTGGTATCGCAGGGGGTGGCAGATGGCCACAAATCTGTCATAGGCCATCACAGTCAGAAGCATGTCATCCAAACATATGAAAATGAGAAACAAAGACATCTGCGTCAGGCAGCCCACATAGGAGATGACTCTGCTCTGAGACTGGATGCCCACAATCATTTTGGGGACCGTAGTGGAGATGAAGCAGATGTCAGAGAAGGACAGGTTGGAGAGGAAGAAGTACATGGGAGTGTGGAGGTGGGAGGCAGAGCTGATAATCAGAATGATGAGCAGGTTCCCGAGCACCGTGACCAGGTACACAGACAGGAATAGCCCAAAGAGGATGGGCTGCAGGTCCGGATCCTCTGAGAGGGTCATGAGGTGGAATTCTGAGATGCGTGTTAAATTTTCTGCTTCTATATGGTTTGGACACCTTTGGAAAAGAGGATTTCAAAAAGAAGAAAACTGACACCAAGTACTAAACAATGATAATTTTTTTTTCATTTGTATTACTACACAGCACTGGGATTACATGCCGGGACTCTGTGTCCAGCTCAGTGTGCTCCAGGAACAGGGCCGGTGCAACATGCGGGACCAAAGATTGAACCCCAAAGCAGGCACTTAACCCACTGAGCTATCTCGCCAGACCCATATTCTTTTGATTTAGAAGATTTAAAATGCTTTGCAGAACTAAAACTGCATAACTTCAACACTAAGTGAATTTTTTTTAATTTTAACTTAATTTTTATGAGAACACAGTTTTCATACACCTTGATCACATTCATCACAGAAAATTTGTACCTATACACAACAAACCTCAATGCTTTGTTTGGCAATCCCAATCTCCGCCCTTGACTGTGATATTTCAGAATCACAGAACATCATTGCCAATTATCTACCAAAAGTTTTCAGTTAATGTTTTCTTCTTTTATGAAGTCTGCACTCATATTTTGTTTGAATTTTGAAGTTTTTTTTAATACATAGGCTTGTCTAATAACTTTGTACAATAAGTTTTAGTAAATTTAAGTTAACTATACAAAGCCAGCTTCATCACTGTCTACAAGTGTGGCATTACTGTGTGCTGCGGTCAATTAAAACATAAAAAAATTTTAAGTGTATTTGGTATAGGGTCTCACTATGCAGGTCAGACTCACAGCGATCTTCCTGACTCAGCCTCCCCAGCAATGGGATTGCAGGCGTGCACCACCACACTAGGATTCAGTGGCCTGCTCACCATGCCCAAGGGTGGATCCAGTGGGACATGTGGTGCTGGGGATCAACCAGTCCCTACACTTGCCTAAGCAGGAGTTTAGTCCACTGAGCTATCTCACTGGCCCCAAATAAATAATTTTTTTAAAAAAACTAATACTTTAAATTATTTAAATCATTATGTATAAAATTTGAATTTCTGGTATTTATGTGTTACTCCATTCTCCTAAACATTTGTACCACCAAAGAAACTTAAACTTAGGATAAACTTAGTTTAACTTAAACTTAAACTTAGGATATCCTAAGTTTATCCTAAACTTAGGATAAAATTGTTTCATAACAATTTTATGAAATTCTTACCTACAAAGTGCCTATAGCTCATCCATAGTTTACAATGTTACCTCAGCTAGTTCAACGTACTATACTAAAATGACACGTGGTTTTAAGTCTTCACACATTAAATACTTTAACTCTTCCCAGCCCTACATGAGGTAAGAACATCATTTAGCAAGTTTGTTATTATAATCTTTGCAAATCCTTCTGTTTATCTCCATAACACACAAGTGAAAATTTCTGGTTAGTATATCGCTGGGGATAGTCATGTCAGGTGAATTACAACAGGTCAAGCATGTTTTATGTTACTAATAATCACTTATATTTTTAAATAAACAGATCCTAATCAAAGCTATTGCTGTTCATGTATTCTGTCAAAAATATCACTGATATAAACCTAATAATAACCTTTGCATAACTGTTAAGAAATTTCATGCTATGTAGAGTATAACATTTCAGTTTGTCTCCATAGTACAATCAGTAGAAACCAGCCCTCGTTTGAGATATAAGAAATCAACATTTAAGCATCTGTGACTGACCTGCTACTACTTGCAGAATGTGGGTCCATCTCGCCCTCTCTCTGTACTCATGCTCCTCAAGCCAAACTGGAAAAATTGCATCTATCTCCGCAACCTGTGTAGCACCTAAGGAATGTCTGGAAAATAATAAAATGTTGTAATAGGATTGCTTCTTCAAACAAATAATTCTATTATTGTAGAAAAAGCAAGTTGTTGATGAAAATAAGTTTGTGATGTGAGTAATGTGACTCTGAGGTGTGAACCACCTCAGGCATAAAGGTTACTCGTTTTCTGCCCCTTGTTATTTTCTTTCAGTCTTCAAAACACTTTAAAGTATGTACAAAGATCATACAATCCACAAAAGTACCTTTTTTAATTAAAAAAGGGCTGGGGAGATAGTTCAGTAAAATAAGTGCTTGCCTGGCAAGTGCAAGGTCCTGAGTTCAATCCTCAGTCCAAAAAAAAAAAATTAATTAATTAATTAAAATAATTTTATTCTACACATCTACAATATATTCGGCATCATACATTTTGTCTATATAAGAATGATATTTAATGGTATATATTTGTAACACATGATAATTATATTCACTGGAGGGAAGCTGGTATGGATACAAGTCACATCTTTTTTCATTTTCACTTTCTGTTCCCCTCTCCCCTTCGCTCATCACCCAATCCTGTTCCCAACTGTACAATGTCTACTCCTTGCTTTCTATCATTGTTTATTCTTTTTTATGCTCATGAATATCTCTACTACAATCTTTGAATAACTGAGTGTAAAAGTTCTTAATTGAAATGTTAGGGCTCTTTTGTACATGATGGAGACACAACCAAAAACTGTTGCTTCTAATCTCTTGTTCTGTTGGATAACTCCTTAAAATGATAAAAGTTCAGAAAAAAACTTTCTACTAACTGTGTAGAAACAGCACAGATAGCAGTAAAATTTTGTGGAAAAGGGTCATACGTATCCACTAGTGCTTACCAGAGCTTTTTTTTTTAAATACCTTTTCTATGCCAAATATGATATAGGCCTCCAGAATCAAAAATTAAAATTAAATTAAAAATTTAAAAACAAAAATTTTGAGACCCAGTCCTAGCCCAGGTCCGGTGAGTGTGTGGAGAGCTTCCTGCTACCCTGCGCCAGCAGGACCAGCCCCAGCCCAGGCACAGCAAGAGCCGGACCTTCTCCCGCCCCTTTGGGCCCCACGCCACCCCTCCCGCCGAGTAGGAATTTCGGCCAACTTCCAGGAACCCCCAGACCCAGTCCTAGCCCAGGTCCAGTGAGTGTGTGGAGAGCTTCCTGCTACCCAGCGCCGGCTGGACCAGTCCCAGCCCAGGCCCAGCGTGGGCCGGACCCTCTCCCGCCCCCTCGGGCCGCCCCCCACCCCTCCCACCAAGTAGGAATTTCAGCCAGCTTCCGGGAACCCCCAGACCCAGTCCTAGCAAAGGTCCCGTGAGTGTGTGGAGAGCTTCCTGCTACCCTGCGGCGGCGGGACCAGTCCCAGCCCAGGCGCAGCATGGGCCGGACCCTCTCCCGCCCCCTCGGGCCGCCCCCCACCACTCCACCTTACCTGCCCCACCCCTCCTGCCGAGTAGGAATTTCTGCCGAGTTCCAGGAACCTCCAGACCCAATCCTACCCAGGTCCACAGCAGGAAGG